TGTAAGTTTGAAATTGTTTACGAATTAAAAATTTGTTAATGCTCTTTGCAAAAAAAAAAAAAAAAAGCAAATACGGTGCAAAAGTTGTAACACCAGTTAAAGACATAAAAATATTTTACAATTAAAGTAGTAATAAATTTGTTAAAAATATTTAACTTTCCTTCAAATAATTTCCTTCGAACTGGAGACAGTATAAAAATTAGTCAAAATGTTATCAAACAAGCAGAAGTGGGCCTAACGAACCAAAGAGATTTGAAAACAAGCCCAAAACAACAAAAAACCCTAACCTAGGTTAAAATACAAGAAAAGTTGCAAAAATAACTCCAGGGTTCATAAAACCATTCAAAAACAAGAACCGTAACCCCAACCAAGCTGTCCTAAGACAAAAGTCCCATCAGCCCCATTCATTTTCATCCAATTTTTTTTAATCTTCACCTGAGGATATTTCTTCCACTGATTTTTTTTTTTTTTTTTTTTAAGGGGGGGGGGGCAAGAAGAAAAGAAAAGAATACCCCCCTCCTCCCCCCCACAAAGAAAGGCAGCTTAGTGTAGAGTTTCTAAATAAAAAGAGAATTGGTTACCCTCACTNCATCAATGTGAGACACACTGATTGGCTGACTGCCAAATGTGTCCGGGTGGGATATTGCCTGCAACCAAGATAAGTGCCTTTGACCAGGAATTGAACTGAGACCCTTAGGTCCAAGGGCAGACACTTTCACCATTGAGCAAACTGGCCAGGGCGCATCCCATTTTTAACCAATCAATTTTGAATTTATCAAGTGTTCTTTTAATCTGCTATTGCAGGCAAATAAAACCCAGACTGGCTCCTGTAATTTACAGCCAAACTTCAAGTGCATTCTGAAATAATTCTGGACTTAAGAGATAGCAGCTGTCAATAACCAACCCGGGATCCATATCAAACACCCTCTGAGCCTTAAGGTGGCTCTTCTATAGGCAGTAACCAGCCACGGTAGGTGCACACTTGTGTGCAGGCCATTAACAGGCAGGAGGCCCATCTAGAGAGATAGTATAGTGTAGGACAGAGCTTCTCCACATTTTCATCACAGTGAAATACTTGTTCAAAACTGGGGAAAAAATATAATGTTGCTTGGGGCTAGGGTTGAAGCCAGGCTCCCCAGGTGCCCTGAAGACCACGTCATGAGCTGGAGGGGACTGTTATCTCTAACTCATTCTGAGCCAGATGGGGTTTAAATCAACAGAAAACTGAGACATGAGGCAGGAGCCTGGGTGACTCTTTTCTAATCTGTGCTCCTGGAAGACAAGTTACACTGTTTCTATTAACGGAGCTATCACTATTCAATGGTATTTCCAGCTCACTGGCAGAGTCCACGTTCTCCTTCATTTTGGAATCTGCAGCACCACACAGATGAAGCACTTATTTCTTTGAGCACCACACACGAAGCACTTATTTCTTTGGTGCCCCTGCCTCCTCTCCAGTAAAAACCCTACTGAGGGACCTGTTTTCCAACTCTCACCTCATCATGATAGGGAAGGCCTTTTACAACTTATTTGTCACTGCTGCCGTTCCTGTGGTTCCCAAAACATTACTGCAAGTGCTTTTTCCCAGCAAGTCCAAGCCTTCACTCTCTGCATCACGGCCCCTCCCCACTACCCACACAATGTTCTAGAAACTAGCTTGCCACCCAAACAGGTCCAACTGCTACACTTCTCCCTGAAGGGTTCCACCTACTCTTTTTCCAGCTGTTCAACTGCCCCAACTCGGATCCCAAAGCCAAAAAAGAGTCATCTGACTTTTTTGTTCTGATTCGTCACTATGCCAGGTGCTTTAGACAGTGAGCTTAGTGCTGAATTTTATTACCTTCCTGTAAGAGCAAAAATAGTGTAGCAACAGCAAAGAATGATTTCAAGACACCACATACGTGCTCGGCCAGCACACCAGGCACACAATGCTCCTTCCTTAGTGCAGATGTGGGGGTGGTACCACTCCTCTGGAAAAAACCTGTGACAGTAACAAACAAACTGAAGCTAAGCCCTGAAGAGGCCAAGAATATCAAAAAAGAATAAAAAGCATCATATAATTTAACATATGACAGGCTAATCACAGTTTAGAACAGGGATGGCAAACTTCTTCTGTAAAGTGCCATATCATAATTATTTAGGCTTTGCAGGCCTTAGTCTCTGTTGCAACTATTCAACATCAAACCCCCTTGGCATAAAAGTAGCTATAGATAATATGAGAACAAATGCGCATGGTTGTTTCAATCAAACTATTTATGGACACTGAAATCTGAATAATTTTCACGTATCATAATTTTTAAGAACCATTTAAAAATGTAATGGCCATTCTTAACTTACAGAACATACAACAGGCAGTGAGCCAGGTTTGGCTCAGGGGGCTGTAGTCTGCCAGCCCCTGGCTTAGCAGAACGAAGTGAAACAAAATGGACAGGGAGGTCAACTGAAGAGACATTTGAGCCTCATGGCAGGGGAACTCACCAAAATACAGACTTGGTCAGGAAGTCCTTACTCCCTGAAACTGATGATGTTTGGTTGAATATTTTGTAGCAGTCTTAGGCTGGCTGCTGTAAGGCATGAAGTATGGGGGAAATGGGGATACTGAAACCTCTAAAAGCCCTTATGAAACATGATTTACATTCCAGCAGGTATCCCATTTCTGTTTTGATGCTTTAGTTGAGAAAACAAACAGGAGACCCAATAAAATGGGTCTAGTGCCTGGCCTTCTACATGCTACCTGCACCACTCACTAAAGAAAACAGAAGGATCGGTGACAAAGGCATTGGCAACTTTCAACCTTAGATTTTATATGGCAAAATCACTTAAAAAATGAGAAATGCAATGTTGGATGTATTGAAAATATTTTATAATTAATTCTCTAGAATCCTAGCCATCTAGTACAGGAAAAAATTATTCGCTGGAACACTTCAGTATTTTTAAACAATGTAAAGACATATTTGACTTGAGGATGGCATAAGATTTTAACAAATATAAACTTAAGCTTCCTCACATTTTCCATAGAGCAACAATGAAAACATTTCAAGGAATAGATGACATAATACCTCAAATGCAAAACTCCAAAGTCGAATAGTCACTTACATTAAGAGATTTACCAAACTGTTTGTAAATTAAAAACAACAGCAAAAGGTCACAAAAAGCCTATTCCTTTCACAGCGTCTTGTCTGGTTCTTTAAGCAGATAAACAAGGTATTGTAAAGAATAGTCAACACTTGGCCTGAACTGTCCTCTGGTAATAATTAATCCCACTATTTGTAGTTTTGTTGTCCAAGGACAAAAGCGCCATGCCACCAACTTCTGCTGTCACTTTCCAGAGTAAGGAAGAGGCTGCTGTTGTGTGTTTTTTCCTTTTTCCAGTTTTCGCTACTGTGAGCAATTAGGTAGCGGAAAGAATGTCACAAAATAAATGAAAGTATTTCATAATCGACCAGAAATGCCACCCCTCTTCCCAACTCCTTTGCCTAGAATGATGAACATATTTACAAATCCTCATTTTATTCTCCTGAGATATTTTGCATGATTCATTTATAAAACATACAGGTAATACAAAGTCCAAAGGCCTGTTGCGTTTACGGAATAAACACATGAAAAAGATTAAACTACATAATTAACATTGTGGGGAGAAATCATGGTTTCATTTATTTTCAAAAGAGAGAGGTTACGAGTGCGTGATGTAAAACCGTAAAAAGTCATCACCAAATGGTGCTAAGGATTATTGCAAGATATTATGCAGGGAGAAATCTGTGCAAATTCATCTTCTTAACTCAGTATCAGATGGCAGAAAAAAAAATTTCTTTAAATAGTCTTGTTTATAGCCAGGAAAACAGATTTGAAAAACTAAACAAGTAGACATCTACCCCCTCTTTATGATCAGACAATGCCAATGAAGGAGATTCCAAGGAAAAAACTGAGATGAAAAAATCCAAATAAAAGCCAACACTGCTATTAAGATTTTTCTTTTAATATGCCACGAGATATCTTGATTGTATATTTTCCAAAGTACTTTTCCAGCCTCATGTCCCAACCCTTCCAAAAGATTTCATCAGTCTTTCCAATAAAAGATGCTGGATTCTAGTTCTGTCCACCTTTTCTTTTTGAAAGCAATTTAATGGTCATACATTCTTATCTAATAAGGAAAAACATTTACAAATACCAGAAACCTAGTTTTGAAACATTTGTATTAATTTTGAACTGAATCAACATTTTGTGGGTTTTTAAAAAGGTTGCAGTTTGAACTCACAACTTAGTGACAAGCACGTTTCTGCTGAGAAGGGACGAGAGGGAGAGTCAGCACTGCAGTTCTCCATGGCCCCAAAGTGCTAATTCCACAAAGGGATACATCAAAAGCAAACATGCAATGGTGGTTTTAAAACTTTTACTGCAATATAACAAGGAAGTAAACAGTAATTAGACACCTACCAATTTCCCCCACAAATAAACCAAAAAATGTAAACAGGAAAATAACTCTGCCTATACTTGTACAGCTTCTCAAATCATGTCAGAAGGGTCTCACATTCAATGATCTAGAGATTTTAAAATAGCAGTAATTATTTTCACTTTAAGAAAAGGTTCCCGTTCCTCCCACCCCCACCCTAAGTATTTAACATGAAAAGAATGGGCTTTCTTGACATTAATTTTATACTTATTTGAAGCAGCAACAATAACCATCAATTATTTGGCATTTCTATTTATAGTTGTTCCAAATTTTTTCAATTTCATAAAGCCATTATCCAGTGTTGCCATGAAATAGAGACTGTAGATTCTAGGTAGCAAAGATTCTTTCTGAAACCAATGTTAAGTCAAAGAAATACAAAGCAGGGCATTACACTAAATTTCTGGATCTAGTACACTAAAAAGTGAAACCTAGGAAGTTACCTACTGTTTTATACAAGAGATAGAGACCTGCAAAAGCTGATTTTTGGTTGTCTATTTTACACACTGTGTGGATCTGCAGCATCTGCTAATTGAAGCAGACATNGTTAGTGTAATGCACTGGTGTGAAGTGTGAGATTAAAAAAAAAAGTCCCTTTTAATCTTCATCAAAGTTCTGCTGTAGAAGAAAATTGGCAGCCAAGTTCTCATTCTTCTCACAAGCAAAATATGCTTGTATCACAAGTCCTTCAGGAAATCCTAATGCCTTTAACTGGAAGAAAAAAGAGAAAATGTATCATCACTTGAAAACTTACTGTAAGAGACACAAAAGCCCTTGAGAATTTTACATGAATCCATCCATATCCAACCCAAGGGGCCAAATGAATCTAGACTCTTTCCTTTAACCACCACTTACAAAATTCTTTGTTCCTAGTTAAAGCTATTCAACTAACAGATACTTTGCTAACAACAGTTGGCATTAACACTAAAAATTAGTTGCTTACTGTGGTGGTTTAAAATTAAATGATTCTATAGAAATTTATAAATTAAATTGCTTTTAGTATATGAGGGGTGAAGATACAGATGAGAACTGGAGATAAGTTTAACTACTTCACCCAATTATTTGTAAAGAAAGTCATATTCTTTATTAGGATCAAATATCATTCTCAATCTCCTTGCCTTATGAAACACTCCATACTAGAAAAATGGGTGATCAATTATTAGTAATATTACATAATATTTCTGAGATCAAGATATATGGTGTTCTATTTTTATCTGCTTAATTTTTATGGCATTTTAAATGGTGATATGAGCCACTTTCACTTTCCTACTCTGTTAAAAATCACTTGTGACTCAATAATCACGCCTTTAAAGACTTTCAACACTAAGGTCAATGATCTAATTCACTAGGTACGATATATTTGTCAGCCAAATGTTATTTATGAATCCCCTCCTCAACTGTCTCAACGGCCTTGATTTAGACTGTATCAAGAAATGACCTTAAAGCACTGGGCACAAGTCCCAATTCAGCATGAGTATTCATCCATGAAAGGAGAAGAAACTTCAAATGATTTTGTTACCTAGGTCTTGTCCAGATTAAATCTGGGCTAGCTGAAGTAAAAGGTAGATAGGGCACAACCCAACTATAAGCTTCTATATGACACACACTTTAGGTTCAAAGACACAAACATGCTGAAAGTAAAAGGATGGAAAAAGATATATACCATGCAAACCAGTTACAAAAAGAGCTGGAGTGGCTTTATTAGTATCAGACAAAATAGACTTTAAGATAAAAATTGTTACTAATAACGAAGGACATTTTAATATAAAACATCAGAAAGACTTCATTATACACATATATAACAGATTCTCAAAATTCATGAAACAAAAACTGATTCAAGAACTGTTGGAGACTTCAATATCCTCACGTTCAATAATGGATATACCAACTAGACAGAAGACCGAAAAGCAAACAGAAGACTGAACATAATAAACCAACTAGACCTAACAGACACAGGATACTTAAAACAGATTGCACATCCTTCTCAAGTACACATGAACATTCTCTATATAAAGACCATGTTAGGCCATAAAAGAAACCTCGATGAATTTAAAAGGATTAAAATTATACAAAGTGTGTTCTCTGACCACAGTGGAATGAATTTAGAAATCAACAACAAAAGGAAATTTGAGAAATTCATAAATATGTGAAAATTAAAACAATCCCAAATAACCAATGGATCAAAGAAGAAATCACAAAGGAAATTGGAAAATACTTTGAGATGAATGAAAACAAAACTGCGAAGCACTAAAACTTATGGGCTACTGCTGGAGCTGTGCTTAGAGGGAAGGTGACCAAAAGACACCAAAATTAGCTCAAGAAGAAACAGGAAATCTGAACTGGCCTGTAACAAGTAGAGATGGAATGAGTAATCACAGAATTTCCCAAAAAGAAAAGCCAGGCCCAGATAACTTTACTAGTGAATTCTACCGACCATTTAAAGAAAAATTAACATTAATTTTCATAGTCTTCTAAACAGAAGATAAGGGACCACTTCCCAACTCATTCATAAGACCAGTACTAAAACACTGATACCAAAACCAGATATAGACACCACAAGAAAACTAAAGACTGATACTTCTTATGAAGATAGATCCAGAAATCCTCAACGAAATACTAGCAGATCAAATCCAGCAACAGAAAAAAGGATTATACTCCATGACCCAGTGGGATTTATCCTAGCAATACAAGGTTGGCCCAACATACAAAAATCAATCAGCATAATAAAGCATATCAACAGAAAAAGGAACAAAACTACATGATCATCTTAATAAACACAGAAAAAGCACTTGACAGAATCCAACACCTTTTGTGATAAAAACACTCAACAAACTAGGAGTAGAAGGAAACTTCCTCAAACAGATAGAAGGAATTTAATAAAACCCACAGCTAACTTCATACTTACTAGTGAAAGACTGAAATGTTTTCCCCTGAGATGCGGAAAAAGACGAGCATGTTGGCTCTCGTCACTTCTATTCAACAATACACAGGAGGCTCCAGATAGAGCAATTAGCCACTCAAAACAAATAAATAATGGCATCCATATTAGAGAAGAAGTAAAACTATGTCTACTTGCAAATGATATCTTGCATACAGAAAATCCTAAAACAACATAAATGATCAGAATTGATATAAGTTGAAGATTGCAAGATATAAGATCAATACATTAAATAAATTGTATTTCTATAAAACTAGCAATGACAATCCAAAAATGAAATTAAGAAAGCACTTCCAGCCCAGCCAGTGTGGCTCAGTGGTTGAGCATCGATCTAGGATCCAGGAGATCAACATTCGATTCCTGGTCAGGGCACATGCCCAGATTGTGGGCTGAATCCCCAGCAGGGGGCGTGCAGGAGGCAGTTGATCAATGACTCATCATTGATGTTTCTCTCTCCCTTCCTCTTTCTGAAATCAATAGTCGTATTTTTTTAAAAAAGAAAACGCTTCCACTTATAATAGCATCAGAAACAAAATACTTAGGAATCAATTTAACGCAAGTACAAACTGAAGACTATAAAACATTTCTGAAATTCTAGAAAATCTAATAATAAGTGGAAAGAAATCCCATGTTCATGGCTTGATAAGACTTAATACTGCTAACATGGCAATACTCCCCAAACTGATCTACACAAAAACACAATATCTAGTTTTGGGGGGGGGCGGAGGGCAGCAGAAATTGAACAACTTGATCCTAAAATTGATATGGAAATCTTGAGAAAGAAGTACAAAACTGGAGCACTCACACTTCCTGATTTCAAAACTTACTACAAAGCCATAGTAATCAAGACAGTGAGGTCCTGGCTGGTATGACTCAGTTGGCTGGAGTGTCATCCTGAGCACTGAAGGGTCACGGGTTCAATTCCTGGTCAGGGCACATACTTAGGTTTTGGGTTCAATAACTGGTCAGGCATGTACAGGAGGGAACTGATCAATGTTGTTTCTCTCTCTCTCCCTTCTTTTCTCTAAAAAGTAAAAACATATCCTCAGGTGAGGATTAAAAAAAAGACAGTAAGATACTGACACAGGGTAAACACATAGATCAGTGGAACAGGACTGAGAGCCCAGAAATAAATCATCACATTTCTGATCAATTGATTTTATTAATAAGAATGCTAAGATGACTTAGTGGGGAAAGAGTAGTTTTTTGTTTGTTTTTAAATGTCTTTATTGATTTCAGAGAGAGAAAGGGAAAGGGGGAGGGAGAGAGAGAGAGAGAGAGGAAAGACAGAGAGAGAGACAGAGAAACATCAACGATGAGAGTCATTGATTGGCTGCCTCCTGCACGTCCCCCACTGGGGATCGAGCCTGCAACCTGGGTATGTGTGCCGGGAACTGAACGTTGAACTTCTGGATCATAGGTTGATGCTCAACTGCTGAGCCACACCAGCCGGGCAAGAGTAGTGTTTTTAATAAAAGGTGCTGAGGCTACTGAATAACCAGATGCAAAAGAATGTAGTTAGGCACTATAAACAAAACGTAACTCAAAATGGATCACAAACCTCGAAGTAATAATAACTATAAGCTCTTCAGTGAAAAGACAAAAGTAAATCTTTTAACCTTGTTTTAGGCAATAATTTTTTAGTATGACATTAAAAGCACAAACAACAAAAAGAAAACTTCTCCAACACAGAAACAAGAACTGATAACCCTAACCTCAAAAAACAGTTGCTATAGAACAATTGAGGCAAGTGTCATTTACTCACTTCTGTTACTTTGAGGGGGGAAAATACCAGCATGATAAAGAATCTTTTAAGAAATACATAATTATAAACCTTGAACACTTGATATGCTTACATCATAAACAAGGACAAATTATTGTCCAGACAGTTTTCTAAGTATTAAGTTAAAAAGCACTTTATCGAATTTCCATCTCAGGACACTTTGTAAAACAGGGCAAGTATTACAATTCCCTATTTACAAACGTTAACAATGGGGCCTTAGAATGAATAACTAGTCACAGTATCATAAAAACTAGGTTAACACAGTGCCACGACCTATACTGGTCGACCTAGTAAGGATGGGAAGAGAATCAGCATAGCAGGTTCTTATATTTACTGTACATCATTTTTTATAATTCATATACCTATTTTACATTTTAGTGACAGTAATGAAGTTAAAAACTCTGAAATATAAATTTTAAAATAGATAATGTTAAATTGGGCAAACACCTAAAGATCATTTTCTTACTGAGTTTTCAAATATCAATGAAATTTTGTTTCTTAATATCCAGGGTGTCCCAAAAACATGTACACCCATTTTAACAGCTGAAAGTTAAACTGCCGTTTCTTTTCATCCAGACTAAGCTTTGAACAAAGGAAATTCATCCTAAAATGCTATTGGATACAAACACTGCCTTTGGGGGACACCTTGTGTAACAGCTGATAATTCACTTAATTTTCACTCCTTTTCAGGTTTAACTGATCTGAAATAATGGGTGAAGCCACAGTAAGCTTTCAACAAAGAAAATTTATCTACTAGACTTTTTAATGGGGATACATAAAAGATAAAGTTTACAATACAAAACCAGCAACAGTTAACGAATTAAGGGCACACAAACACCAAACAAAATGATTCCTGATGTTTGTGATTCCATTCCTTCTGTTACCAGCCGTGCCTGGATGAGAACAGTCATCAGTTTGGAAACAGACGAAAACAAAAAAAATTATTCATTTCTGTAGATTCTTTTAAATTTTGAAAATGAATTGTATGTTAATAAACACTGCCTTTATACACATGTAGAATGTGTATACATTTTGGGGACACCCTATATTTATAACTAGTTCATGCTAGAATGGTATTCACGCTGGTCCCTTGGCCTCACAAAGGAAAGATGGGAAAGCAGGGCTGAGAAGAACCTGTCTTTACTGCAATCCCTGGGGGTGATGCTCTATTTGGCTCTAAGAGAACTACCTCCAGTGATGGAAACACTCCGTATCACTGCTATCCAACATGGGAGTCACTAGCCAAGTGAATACTGAGCATGTGAAATGTGACTACTGTGACTAAAGAGCTGAACTGTTAGTTTTACTTAAACTCACCCTTTCTATAGCTTCTTTTTCCTGAGGCGTTACTTGAATGTAGTTCATATGACCACTTCCAGCTTCTGCAACTCCTCCACTGCCACCTCCGCCCCCTCCTCCTTGACCACCAGCTTCTTGAACTGGTTCATTTAACATCTGAATAAAATGCTCCTGGTGTTGGCTAATTTGCTGTGGTGATTTGAAGGACAGAGAAAAACATTACATTGATATCAAATATCTTCAGAAAAATAAGAACTCTAAATACAAATAAGAGAAGCTATAAGTTTGTAACTGCAATATTTTAGAATGATTCTAGATTATTTAGTCTTTGTGAGGATATGAGTTCTTGTATATTATTACAGAAGCTCAGTTCTTTTGAGTGAGATAAACAGTGAAGAATTAAGAGAATTCAAATTCTCTCATAAATGTAACTGCCAAAAAATAAAATCAATGTTAAAAAACTACTTGACAAATATAAGAGGGAACAGAACTTATATATGTCTTCTACACCAGCAGGTAGTACAATGATGTACCAAACTCAAATATTTTGTGACCTAAGCATTCATTGATAAGCCCATGAGTATGTTTTCTAAGAGGTGGTGCTCCACAAATAAGCTTGGAGAAAAAGACTTAAGTTAAGCAGTTTCTTTGCTGAAGAGTTTCACAGATTCTTTTAATAAAGTGTTTCCCAAATTTATTATTTGACCAACTAAAATTAACCCAACCCCCACTCCCAACTCTTTTTCCAGTACACCTATCTCTCTATGTAGCATATTCTACTGAAGGTAGCTTAGAAGAATGGTTTAGAGTTGGTGGAGGGGAAGGGGGTGCTCATGAAAGCTTTCAAAATGTGACACACTCTAAACCCACTTCTGAAATTAACACTGGTTAAATAGTCACCTGCAGTAACTGAGGATTTTCTCGACCTATCTGTTGTAGCAATGCTGGAAGCAGGGAAGGATTCTGTTGAATAATTTGTCTCATCTGTTGAAACTGAGGCTGATTCCGCAAAAATTCAAGGGGATGTCCTAAAATACACATAAACGTTGCTAAACAAAAGTAGCAATTACATATACAAAGAGCTGGTTCAATTGTAATTTAGACTGAGCATTGGAAAGTAAAAAAATGTAGTCTGAGTTCTCAGATGTATATAAAATGAAGTAAATAATGACAAAATCTTCAAACTCTACCAATTTCCAAGTCTACACATATTATTCCATTAGCAAAGGTAGAATACAGAACACTAAAAGAAAGGTGTTTTCCTACAACTGCCCCAGGCATTCAATATTATCAAATAATACTGAGGACTTGTGCTCTGTACTCTATCAAAATAATAAGTACTAGAAGTTGTTCCCATTGCTCAAAAGTTCCTAAAAAATATATATAGCAGGACTAAGAAAAAAACAAAACAAAACCCACTTACTTTATAATATAACCAAAACCTTAAAAACAAACACCCAAAAACAATCTGAGCTTGAATTCCTGGGAAATTCCTAACGGGCGGACAAAAGTAGGTTTACAGTAGTTCGTATGAAAAAATATAAATAAATAAATAATACAAGAATAAACTGTGTATCATGTACTTACAGCTGTAAACCTGCTTTGGCCAACCCCTGTAATTAATAATTGAAAGTTAAGAGTTCACATTTACAGATCAGATGGAGTTTTACTACTAGAGTTAGAAGATTTTTTTTATCATCGTCAAATTTCAAACATTTATAATCTACAAAAACACGATAAACAAGCCACCAGACTATCTAGTATTAATACATTTATAACTCTAGTCCAAGATCCCTTTATAATAATAAATATTAATAATACCAAATAAGGTATAAGATGTAGAATTTGTGAATTTTTGGGGTGGTGGTGTTTGTCTGGTTATGCTGTACAAAATAAAAAATTACATACAAAAGAACTGTTTTTGAGGTTACTAATGAAAAATAAGAATTTTTTAGATGTTATCTCCTAAATTTTAATTCAAGACAATTGTTCAAATTAAAATGACCATGTAACAGATATTTATTCTTCGTGTAACACCAATTTTACAAATGAAGAAAAAGAGACTCAGAAACTAAGTTACTCAATAAATGCTGCTCAATGGAACAGCACCCTCAATCTGAACCAAAGCAGTGGCTTCCTCTTTCCATTTCTATGCTAATCCTTAAGAAATGACAAGCCTGTCTTCTGGGAGACTGTACATAAAGTGCTTAGAAATTTCTCTAAACCAGAGCTGACTGTCACAATTAGAGCTAGAAAACGCATCAAAGAATGGCCTCTTCAAAATTAACAGTTTGAATGCTTTATCAATACACAAAAGAAAGAATAAAAGAGAACACTAAGTAATTCTTGGGCCTACCAAAGGCTCCAGGCTTTGCTTTGTACAGTCAAACTTTATATAATGGAAATGTGGGCCATTAGACACTTGAATTCAAGTTAGCTTTCACCTCTAGACACAAAATTTCAAACCTCTCGAGGTTTTTTTTTCCTTGGTTGCAAAATAACCACTAAGATACTACTGGCTTTAAAATTATACATACTCTATAAAATTTATGAAAGAGACAAAGTGAGAAACCATTAGAAATAGTTTTGGAATGTGACAATGGATGCAAACTGGGAAGCATCTCTTCTTTAGAATATGCTCTACCAAAACTGCAGCAATGATGCTGAATACAGGCAAGAATATCTCTTATATCTACTTGTCAGAATTTCTTTTGGGCTCGTCTTTAACATTAAAGAATAGCAAATGGGCTTTAGGAGTTACCCAAATGCTCTGGGAATAAATCTCACCTCAAAATACTTCAGAGTAAATTACTTTACAGTACAAATTCAAGACCATTTCCTCCCACCCAAAAGATTCCACTTTACCTCCAGAACTTGTTGTTGTAGTCGTTGCTGTCGTCGTTGCTGCAGCCGCAGCCACTGAAGACTGAGGAGGCCCAGTACTAGCTGCTGGAGGGGGATCAACCACAGCCTGACTTTCTCTGTCTCCAGGGATTCCCTATAATACAATTTCCAAGCTTTAAAATATCCTATCATTTAAAGTTAGTTAAATATTACACAGAGTAAAAGATTTATTAATGTATTTAATATCCTTGTCTAATTTCCAAAAGCATCAAACAGATGCCTGCTTCAATTAAAAGTAAAGGATTAAGCCCTGGCCAGGTAACTCAGTTGGTCAGAGCATCCTACATGCTAAGGCTGTGGGTTTCCATCCCTGGTCAGGGCACATATAAGAACAATCAATGAATGAATAAATAAGTGGAACAACAACTTGATGTCTGTCTGTCTTTCTCTGTCTCTCTCTCCTTCCCTGCACAGCCTCCATCACCTCCCTTAGCCTCTCTCAAAAGAAAAATTTTAAAAAATCAATAAATAAAGGAAATTTTTTTAAAAAGTAAAGGATCAAGACTTATCTGAAAGCTACATATATTTAAATTAGATTAGAAATGGCCCAAGTGTGGTGAAGAACCCATTATTTCTATAAGGTGGCACTGTCCAACAGAACTTTCCATGCTAAATGAAGTATTTTCTATAGCTATGCTGTCCAATAAAATACCCATTAGCCATATGAAGCTACTGAAAACTTGAAATGTAGTATAATGTTACTCTTCCACTCCACAGTGATTACCAATCCAATATGATTCCTCAATTCCAAACAAATAAAATGAATTGCCAGCATTTTAAAGACAAAATGATATGCCAAGGAAAGGTTTGGTGAATCTCACATACAAATGAGTATGCAAATAGCTGGTGGAGGCAGAACATTTATTCGCTTATGACTATGACTATCCTGAAACTACTATCTGAAAAGGGTTTCCAATAGATGTATAACCTGGAAACAAAAGAATGGGTTGAAGTATGGATTATATTTCCCAGAATTTGGATTTTGGGTGATATTTAGGGCAATTCAGACTTTGATGATACTTCAAAATACCAGACAATTATAAAGTGTTAAGATTAAAAAAAATAATGTTATTCCAGAATTCTACGCAATTACTTTAGCCTGTGCCACATCTATAAAACTAACATTCGTTGTCATAAAGTATCAAGGGTTTCAGTCCATGCTCACAGCCTATTTCTCAAAAACCTTTATGCCAGGCTAGTAAAAGACAGTAACTTATTTGAAATCCCTTCAGCTGTTACCAACTATAAACAGGCTAACAATTCAAATGTCAATGGAAAGAGGCAGGTAACATGTTAAATTAAATGCATAATACTATGTCAGGAAACAGTGAATGAAAGGGGAAGATAGTAAAAGAGAGAGTCTAGGATCTAAAACTTTTCCTAATCTCTTGCAAAAACCTGGGATCCTACTTGTCCAGATAAATCAGATTATCTGAATTTTTAAGTGAAATCTAATTTTTAAGTTACCAATTGCCTGGCCAGCGTGGCTCAGCAGTTGAGCATTGACCTATGATCCAGGAGATCCCGGTTCAATTCCTGGTCAGGGCACATGCCCAGGTTTCGAGCTCGATCCCCAATAGGGGGCATGCACGAGGCAGCCGATCAATGACTCTCTCATCACTGATGTTTCTCTCTCTCTCTCCCTCCCCCTTCCTCTCTCTGAAATCAATAAAATGTATTTTAAAATAAAAGTTATCAATTACCAAAATTTAGAGCATAAATCAAGTAATATTTGGGTTGGGCTTCTAACTTGACACTTTTGCTCTAAATAGTACATCCAGGATTACTGGCAGTCAAAAATGCTACTAAAATGTTAGATTACATAAAAAGGAAATCTTCCCCCACCCCCCAACACACAACTATCAGCCTTTGAGGATGATATAACTGGCATAGAAGGATCTAGTCCAAATGAATAGCCAACTTTGCATCTCAGTTAGCCATGCTGTTTAGTAACTAAAAATCTTATCAAAATCTTTTAGAAGAGGCCATTTCATCAACACAAAACGTTAGCATACTAGAAAAATAAAGCATTATGTAAATTATCTAGTATATATTATTATTCTCCTGTGAACTGTACAGTTTCTTTAAAATCTTTGTTTCTTTGAGGTTTTGGTCTTAACCTAGAATGAAGAAGTAAAATGTTTCTCACCATTAAAAGATACTCCACTGCTCTGTCAGGGTTGTTGAAACTGGCTCTCAGGGCTGCAATTACTTGCTCTCGTTCATAGCCCATGGACATGATCTCAGTTACCATATTCTCGTAAGACTGACCTGTCACTACAAAAAGGTGGGAGCAGGGGTGGAAGGAGGGAAAAGAAAGGGAACATTTAATGTGAAACATTCTCCACATACTTTTTGAATGTATACAATGTTTTAGGCACTACAGTGCTAGGAATACAAAGATGAATAACAACATGAACTTTAACATATAGGTACTAGGTAGAATAATGCCTCTCTACCCATGCCAATCCCTGGGACCTATAAATATGTTAGATTACCTAGCAAAGGGGAATTAAGATTGCTAATCAGCTAAAATTGGGAAATTATCCTGCATTATCTGAGTGGGCCCAATGCAAAAGCCCTTAAAAGTAGGAGGGAAGTAGATAAGAAGATCAGAGAAACTGATGTAAGGAAGAGAGGAGAAAAGCAGGGTCAGAGATGCTATGCTGCTTTGATGATGATGGGGGAAAGGGCTACGAGCCACATACATGTGAAATCTAAAAAACAAAACAAACAAGACAGAAACAAACTCATAGATACAAAGAATAAACTGATGGTTGTCAGATAGGAAGGGAATTGGAGGGTCGGGTAATAAGGTGAAGGGATTGAGAAGTACAAATTGGCAGTTACAAAACAGTCATGGGGATGTGAAGTACAGCCCAGGGAATATAGTCAGTAATACTGTAATAACTATGTATGGCGCCAGGCAGGTACAAGACTTATTGGGGGGAGGGCAGAAATCACCTTGTAAGTTACATAAATGTCTAACCACTATACTGTATGCCTGAAACTAATATACTATTTAATGCCAACTGTAATTGAAAAATTTGAAAACAAGTCATCTTGAAAAAAAAAAGTTAATGTACGAAACATTAATTTACAGTTTTTAGTAGCATTATTAATTAAATAATTATCTAAATCAATTATTTAACAGCTTGATTGTAAGCAGCCATAAAAACAAACACATTATCATGATCTAGAAAACAAAACTTACACCCCGTCCCTCTCTCTTACAGGGTTATTTACAATGTAGACACTTACCAAGAGCACTTGTTGCGTCTTCAAAAAGGTTTGACCGAGAAGAATCTGATGTACTGGAAAAGGTTTTTAGAAAAATCATATCAGAAAGTATTTAAGATTTACATTAAAGTTTAGCAACTGTCTAATTCGTAGAGAGATTCTTTGATTTTCATTAAATGTAAAAGTCTGACTATGGTATTAAAACATAAAACAGTCCTAAATTAAACCCCAAAGCTTCATCTATAAAATTTATGGCTTGGGAAGAACTTTAAATCTTAGTACTCATTCTGTTCTGCAAATCCATCATTTTATGTTACTTATTTTTTAATCCTTACCTGAGGATTAATAAATGTGACACACGTATGCCTCTGTCCCAATTTTAAAAACAAACACAGTATACTTCAGTTCTGAGAAAACCCTGTAGCCATAGCAAAAGCAAGGGAACTACTTAAGTTTGAATTCATAAATTACTTTCTAAGGTTCAGTTTCTTCATCAATACAATGATGTCAACAATAATATCCACGTATCCCAAAATGTGGTATATGGTTACCGCTGGTAAAGTGCTTAGCAAAGTGCCTGGCATGGTAATGCCCAAAATGATTATTATAATCCTTTGGTATAATTTTAAAGTATCTTCATTAACTAGATAGCAAAACTTCAAAATTAAATATATATCAGGAAGCTAAGTCTTTTGAAAAGATGCCTGCCCAGAGGCAATCACCACTATCAGTTTTATACAGTAACCACTCTGTCCTCTTTTGTGTTTTATTTAACCAAACAATTATTTCATGTCAGCACAACCACAACTACCTCAAGTTTTCACAAAAGATGCACAGTATTCCATTTAATTGATCAAATCAAGCTCTTATTAAGGAATTTTTAGTCTGGTTGCCAATATTTAAATTCTTTCTGTAGTCAAATTTATTAATCATTCCCCTTTTATGACTTTTTTGGTTAAGATTATTTCAATTTTCCCCATGTTCTCTTCTTGTTTATGATTTCACTTTTACTTTCAATCTTTATCCATCTAGAATTTACTTTTGTAAGTGTAAGGTATGTGATCCCTCTTCCAGGAGGCTAGGCATTTATCCCAACAGCCTTTTCCCCACAGTGGTCTGAAATTACATCTTTATCTTATATTAAACCCCTATATGTACTTTGGTCTGTTTCTAAACTACTGTCTATTTCACTGAGCAGTTTTTCTAGTTAAGAGTCATTCTAAATTGTTATAACTGTTACCATGTATAATACATTTTACTATCTGGTAGGGTTACTGCCCCTTTACTATTGCTCTTTTACAGAATAATTTGTGCTATTTTTGCACACAGTTTCAAAATTTCTTTTTAAACATTACAGCTAAGAGTGAGGTATCATTTACCCACCATTCTTGATTTTGCCTCACCATGTCTTCCCTCCCTGTCTGCAGAGGAAACCACTTATCGGTCAGTCAGTGTATTGTCCCTGTTCTACTACACACTATTAAGCATACCCACAGAATATATGTTGTTTGTGGCTTGTGTCTCGTTTATGGTTTTCACTTGTACTGTTTTGCAATCTGCTTTTTACAGTTGATAACATAGCCTTGAAACCACATTCACTTAATACAAATATATACTGCACACTTTCACGGGCCTGTGGTACTGGATATCAGAGCTTCCCAAGCTTTAGCAAGTCTAAGACTTCACCAGAAGAGCTTGGCAAAATACAGACTTCTGGGACCTACCCCAAGATAATTCTGATTTAGAGGTCTGAAGTGAAGCCTAAGAATTAATTTCAAACAACCTCCCAGTGATGCCAATGCTGCCTACTGACCACTGCACTTTGAGTAGCACTGCTCTCTAATATGAACAAGTCACAGGTCAAGTCATCCCCTTACTAATGAATATTTAATTTGGTTATAATTTGTCCTCAACTACAAACAATATAGTTCTTGTGCACAAGTATAGTTTCTCTAAGTCAGCTATCAACCTTAGAGAATGAATTGAGTGGAATTTGCATTGTAACAGTATTTGAAGAACAAATTGATCTGAGAAACAAATCCCTAATAATAAAATGTCAGGCCAGTGGGGATGGACAAACTTTCTTACACTCATCAAATTCACACCAGAATATGTCCTGACAATCATTTCACTAAGTTTTGTGCTTTATAGGACACTAAACATTTTACAGCACAGATGAAGGGACTAAGGCACAGTTTGTAGCTTGTTTTCTCAGCTCCTCTCATCTTTCCCTTCCTGTGTTATCCTTCTGTGAGATGCATAATTTTGGGAAATGAGTAAATTGCTGCAGTTTTCCATTGTGTCTGGTTCTAATTCCAAGGAGTCCCGCTACTGCCACTGAGGTCCTGAGCTGCACTGAAGTAAAAAAATACAAACAGCTCCAAAGACCACACTGGACATAATACAACTCACGCTCTATCTAAGTTGGGATTCCCTGGTACAGTTTTCCAGCCAAGAGAACTGAAGTATTTGGTTTGGTTATTTTATTTATTATGGGGGGGAGGGGGGGATGTCTTTATCATAAACTACTGAATATCCTAACTTCCAACTTGCCACAAGAAATTATTTATTGCTCCCCAATTATCCCAGCACTTTTTCTTTTGTTCTCAAGATTTACAGGTAAATTTTAAATTTCTACAAGTTCACAAAGACAAGACAGTGCAAAATTGAAATAATCCATATGTTCAAAAAAAAGGTGATAGGTGAAATATTCACAATAGCTGATACTCAGCACATACTGTCTGCCATGTGCTATTTCACATCTCATGCACTCATTGTTTCATTTAATCCTTATAAATAACTATGAGACAGGTAGATTCTATTGTCATTTACATTTTACAGATGAGGAAAAACCCCAAAGATGTTAATTACTTCTTTAAAGTTAAGAGCTAACAGATGTCAGATCAAAACACTATGCTATGCAGCAACTGGAAATATTTACTGACATGGAAGGATGCTGATCACATATATGACAACAATCAGAAAGAATATAAATCAATCTGGCCACTGTTCGCTCAGTGGTTGAGCGTCGACCTATGGACTAGGCGGTCATGGTTTGATTCCCAGTCAGGGCTCGATCCCCAGTGGGGGGGGTGCAGGAGGCAGCCGATCAATGACTCTCTCATCACTGATGATTCTATTTCTCTCTCCCTTCCTCTCTCTGAAATCAATAAAAACATATTTTAAAGAAAGAATATAAATCAAATATAAATAATGATAGGGACAATGTCAAGTTATTTATAATATGTCAAGCTATAATACACTGTTATTTTAGTTCTTCTTTTTGGTCACTTGTATTTCCAAAATTTTCTACACAAAGTGAATGATGACCCTGATCCTCTTTCCTTTTCCCTCTGGGGAAAAAAAACAGTATATAAAAATTTGGATTATGGAAAGTTAAACAGACACAAGTAATACTGTTTTTGTCAGAGTTCAAAGTTTAGAAAAAGTTTAACAGCGTTAATTTGGTCAAAAAAATAATCAAAATAAATATATGCATGAAGTTCATGTTATGACAATTTTCTAGAATCCAGTTCTTACCTGTCAGTTGATGTTGGGCTAGTAGCCACTGGTGTTTCTGCTGGCTGTTCTGCAGGGCTCTCCTGTTTTGTTGTACTAGCAGGTGCAGGTTCAGACGATGCTGTCGTTGATGCTGGAGTGATAGATGCAGGTGTGGGAGTGGGAGCCAAAGCAGGGGTGGGGGTTGGGACCTGAGCCACAGCTGGTGCTGTGGAGGAACTAACTGTGGTTGTGGTGGCAGAATTTGATTGCTGAGTTGTTGCTGGTGCTGGTGTTGTCACTGCTTTGGGCTAAACACATTAAAAAACAAAATAATGAATGATAATAAAATACTTCATTATTACCTGATCTCTAATTAGACTGTATTGTTACAGGATGCTACAAACTCAACACTAGTAATACAAACTTGTAACTTGAAAATAACTTTGTCAAGTGACATAATAGTAAACATTAAGACTCTGAATCACTATTTATGTTACTCTTTCAAAGTGGATGAGGGCATGTATATTACTTTAATTATCAACCTCAATTAGCTTTAGCCAACAGTTTCAGCTTTCATATCAATATGAAAAAACTGTTGGTATTAAACTGATAGTTGTAAGTACAAAGAGGTTAACATAACTTCTGAGATATTCAGTTAAACCGAAAAATAAAAGCCAAGTAAAATTATAACCACATGCTCTGCACTTTCTGAACTAGAAACAGAGCCATGATGATTTCCACAGAACAAAAAGCAATCACATACAGGTAAAGAGTCTTTTTATTCTCCCAAGGCCTACCAATGCTCATAACCTATTTAGCTCATAACTTTCCTAATGACAAAAGGTAACTGTTTTGATGGAAGATGGGATTAAAATTTAACACAATTTGCTCCAAGTATAAAACAACAAATTGTAAAAGCAATGAGCTGACTTACATCTTGTTCAATTTGAGCCAGTATAGAGTGCATTAGAAAAAAAGTGGCTAGTGCAAGATAGGGAACTTTAAAAAAATAGTAATAGCATTCATCACCTTCTTTCCCTATTCTTTTTTTTTTTAATGTTTCTATTGATTTTACAGAGAGTGGGATAGGGATAGAGAGAGAGAAACATTGATGAGAGAGAAACATTGATTGGCTGACTCCTGCACACCTGCTACTAGGGTTTGAGCCCACAACCCTGGCATGTGCTCCGACTGGGAACTGAACCAGTGAACTCTTGGTTCATAGGCCGATACACAACCACTAAACCACACTGGCCGGGCTCATGTCTCTAAGAGTTTTGTATTTAGATCTAACTTTTTAAACTGCGCATTTAATACTACAAATTATTAATGTTCTAAAACTCCAATCTAGATAAAAATATCATTTAAATGCATTTTGCCCATTTAATATTTCCCTTAAGATCATTTGTAATCACTGTAATATTGTAACATACCATGCCCTCAAGTTCCCTGTTGCCACAAAGAGCAATTTAAGCCTTGTTCTAAACAGTACCAAACCAAGCCGCTTTTTCTCTCTCACACACACACACGTTATGTTTTTATTGATTTCAGAGAGGGAAAGAGAAATATCAATGATGAGAGTCATTGATAAACTGCCTCCTGCACACCTCCTATTGGGGATCATGCCCGAAACCCAGGCATGTGCCCTGACCAGGAATTGAACCATGACCTCCTGGTTCATAGGTCGATGCTCAACCACTGAGCCACGCTGGCTGGGCCCACCTGCTTTTTGAAGTTTTTCTGCTTGCTTTTTATCTTAATTGCTTTTTCTTGTCTCTTCCTTGTAATAAGATAATTATTCATTGCTTCCATAATGCCTAATTATATCAGTCTTCTTCACCTTCTGATAGCTGGCCTCCACTATTAACTTGAAAATAAAGCAACCACAAATATCACTGGAATCCTATGTAAAATAAGAATAGGCTAGGCTCCAAGTAGCTATTCTTCAAATGCATACACCTATTCTGAGACCTATCCTGCTAATTCCTAATTATGTTCTAACAGTCGAGGTTATTACTATAATACTAAAGGTAATAAGACCGATAACAAATACATATCCAAATGTGTGGCCACCACATTTTCCATTATGTACTACATACGATAAAACTAGATGAGATAACGGAATATTCTTCAGCCCTAAAAAGGATGGCAATGCTACAACATGGATTGAAATAAGTCAGTCACAAAAGGAAAATACTGTATGATTCCACCTACATGAAATACATAGAGGTGGGGATGTGTGGATGGAAAGTTACTGTTTAATGGGCACAGTTTCGGTTTGGGAATATGAAAAAAGTTCTGGAAACAGATGGTGGTGATGGCTGCACAATGTGAAAGTACTTAATGACACTGGACCATACACTTAAAAATGGTTAAATCGATAAGTTTTGTGCTATGTATATTTTTATCATATTTTTTTAAACACTAGATGAGACAGTCTCCTCGTGTGATTTGTTCCTCTGTACTTAAAGCTTAATATTTAATTGAATAAGTGCTTGAATATTGCAAAATCAATATGGTTCTTAATAGATTAAAAATGTTCAAGACCAATCCATATAAACTGCTACTACAAAAGTATGTAGCTGTCAAAATTTATTTGTTGAACTCTATTTCCTACTGCATGTATCAATTATTTTATGACTTTAAAACCCATATTTAGCCGTGGTTGTGTGGCTTAGTTGGCTGGAGCATTATTTCATAGACCAAAAAGGTTTCAGGTTGGGGCATGTAAAGGAGGCAACCGAGTTCCTGCCTCACATCGATGTTTCTCTCTCTCTATAAAAATCAATAAAACCATATCCTCCGGTGAGGATTAAAAACAAAACACCATATTTATTCTATTTTTTGGTCTTTGATAAACTGGTTTCTAATTTAAAATTATTTTCAGTGCTACAAGTAACACTATTCTTCTCAGATTAGACAATTCAATCCTAAAAATTAATGTCATGAGTACTACCACTTTTCTAAGTCTTAACTCTTCACTGAATGCTTTCGTAATGTTAAAAAAGTATATAAATATAGGCTCTAAAAGAACCTATTTTTTCTGCTTTAGAGAAAAACTTTGGTTTTTATAACTTGTCCCAAAAATATTTCAGTCCAACAAATCACAAAAAAGTTCCTGTTATAAACTTCCTCACAATAATCATTCCATTATTTTTTCAGCTGCCTTTTCCTTTTCAGTTTCTAAAAACCTATCCCGCCTGGCCGGGCGTGGCTCAGCAGTTAAGCATCGACCTAGGATCCAGGAGATCGCAGTTCGATTCCCGGTCAGGGCACATGCCCGGGTCACATGCCCGGGTTGCAGGCTCGATCCCCAGTGGGGGCATGCAGATGGCAGCTGATCAATGACTCATCATTGATGTTTCTCTCTCTCTCCCCCTCTTCTTTCCTCTCCCTGAAATCAATAAAGATATAATAAATAAATAAATAAATAAATAAATAAATAAATACCTATCCCACTAGCTAAAAAATATCACTGAAATTATGAGTCTACATGCCTTTGCTATAAAACCTTGAGGAGTATGTGAAGTATAGTACCTAATTTAGCAAGTACATTTAAGGCACTCTTATTAAAAACTACAAAATAAGAAACAATTCAATTTCCAAGAATCATGTTTTCTAATAATTACATAATCAGTGATTTTACTACTCCAGCAAAACCTAACAATTCTTCACATGACATTCTATTTATCAATTGTTTTAATTTATTTAAAATTATGTTCAACTGCAAATGTGTAAAATTATCAACTTATGGCTGACACAAGGTAAATTATTAAAACCTTTAAAAACAGTTAAGTGCACACCACTCTGGATGTGCATAAACTGTATTCACTCAAAGGCATCAAGGCTGGACTTGGGACAGTTACTATTTAAAAACTCACATACAAGAAGATATACAGAAGGCTGAAACTTACTTTTGTCACCATAACCACCACAAAGTTTTTCTCATCAATTTTATATTCTTTTAGAGCAGTATCATCATTGAGGATTTTGCCTAGTATATTAAGAAAAAAAGTGTTATTCAAGGCATGGTAACTTCTGTCTTATACATAACTAAAGTTAAAACAACCATCAATGACAATTCTATCAATTAATACTTTCCCAAAGGAAAACATTAACCAATCAGTCAAGATGAGGACAAATATAAATGGAAACACAATTAAAGACAGTTAAGAAAGAATAAGAATTTGACTAAAAGATATTAAACACATATACAGTATACAGATATCCCAAGCAATTCTTAAAAATTATTACTTATAATAAAAAGAGTTGACAGTTAAAAAAATATTAACTAGGACTTAAGAAAGGACATTATAAAGACAAATAAAATTCAAAATTGATATTATACAAGGACTCCCCCTGGGAAATAGCCTATAACTTCTTCATGGGAGGAAGGAGAAAAGAACCACCTTCCCACTCCCACAAATACCAGATACCAGGCAAAACAGAAATGTTCCAATGTTATAAAAGTGTGATACTCATAATGAAAAGTACTTCAGAAAATGATTTAGTATACAGAAATGACAAGAAATGATACAATGTGACACATCAGATTTATTCAATAAAAATTCATTAAAAAATACAAAAACTTACAAAAGATTAAACAAAACCAACACCATTAGATATATATAAAGCAAATGTGCATAAAGAGGGGACTGAATATTAATATATTCAAATGACTGTCCATTCACTGCTTCCATCTGTACAGTCATGTTTCTGACAGAACTAATTTGTACACACTATAATTCATAAAATGACAATTTCTAAAACTAAAAAAATATCACAGTGAAGAAGAAAATGGCACATTAATTTCAATATTCAATCTATACCTGCATAAATTAATTTCTGACCCGCTACAGGAAAGGCATCTCTCCCCTTTTCAGATTCAATCTTCTCTTTCAGTGCTTTCACCTAGAGGAAAAATAAAAATTTTTGTTTAGAGGAAAAATAAAAATTTTTGTTTTGAAAAGTCTAAACAACAAATGACAATCCAGAATCTGAATAAATGATGTAAGTAAATTTATACATATTAATTTTTGCTTCTAAAACCATAATGATAGTGTCTTTACAATATCATATCAAAAGACTCATTCAGTTAACCCATATTATTAAATATTAATTACAACATGTAGTGGGTTCATAATTTTTAAATAAACATTTAAAATATTTGTTTTAATTTCTAATATGGTAAATATAAATAAATAAGCAGAGAGACAACAGTTATGTTGGAGTCCTCCATAATTTTTTGGTATAAAAGGATATTGAAAACAAAAAGTTTTAGTAGTGCTATCTTAAATGCTAACTGGCTCACTCAAAACCAACTGAATGGTAGCAGAGCCTAGTTAGAGCACTCTGGTAAACGATAAATTTCTTTCCACACTTTTTTTTTTTTAGAAAGAAAGAAGTCATGCAATATTTGCAACTATGACTGCTTAGTGAAAATCATGAATTACAGACCACGTGTCACTATGAGTAAATTCAATACTCAGAGCAGTACACAGTGGTTTAGCATAGTAGGTACTCAGTTATTACATGCTGAATGGGTAAATTAATACAGCATATAATGTTTAGGAAAAAAAAAAATGAAACAAAAAAATTTTAAAAAAAGCAGGAATCTCATTCTTTGACAGGTGAGGATGAGTAGGCAACCAAGATAGATTTAATTGATACATATATAATTTCTATCCAATAAAAATTGTATTTTTATTTCTAGGACCCATATGTATATTTTAACTTTAGCTACAAAGACTATTTCACTATTTTTAAAAGCCTAAATAAGTAATGACCACTCTCTAGCTGTGCATATAAAAAAAGGACAAGGTGGGGAAAATACCCTTGTAAATTAAGCAGGTCAACAACAACAAAACAATTTCAATCATTTACTAGTAAATAACTTTTGCTTCAAAGAAATAAAAACTGTGATTAAGTAATATTAACATAACAATGAGGACTCTATACACATCAATACCTATATGGTTTGGCTATGAAAGTAATTAGACTAATACTAAAATTGTTTATTATTAAACAAAGGAGGGAAATTAATAAACTAAGCACACAATTCAAACAGAAATAACAAGACATATATTAAAAGGAAAAATGCAAATCAAAGAAATTAAGAAAAGCGAAATGGTAGGAAAGAAAAGGTTCTCGTGCCAAGAAAAGTGGACAAATGGCAGGGGCAGGAAATTCACAATTACACAGTCAAAAAAAATGTTCAATGTCTTTAGTAACCAAAAGCATATATAGGGTATCCCCAAAAATGTATATACACACTTTGAATGATTATAAAGGCACTGTTCATTAACATACATTTCATTTTCAAAATTGAGCTCTGAGATGTTAAAGTATGTATACATTTTGGGGGGACATCCTGTATATATGTGTCTGTGTGCCCGTGTGTATGTGTGTGTGTATATATATATTTATATTCATATTTACATTTATTTTAGTAGCTACTTCCTCTTTGCCCTGACATCACAGGTGCAGCACAGCAGCTGCATCTGTGGTACCAGCAGGTCCAGCACCTGCAGGGCAGCCAAAAGCATAGACTTTAATGTCAGACATCCTTAGTCCAAGAGACTGCAATACTGTAAAGACTGTCCTGAACAATTCTTGGTATTAAGTGTGAAGAGATACATCCTCAGAATGAGAGTATCAAGTGATAAAGGGCAACATACCAAAATGTCTCAACTTCTTTTTTTGGGGGGGG